CCACCCCACCCAATCCAACATCACTCAAAACTAGGCATGCACGCCCCTAACTACCTCTATTCCAACTGCAACTGTCCTTAAATGCAAGCTACTCAATGCAAAAAGCCTTGTAAATAAAATACCTAAATTTCTCCTCTTACTAAATACGGCTAAATTCAACATTATAGTTGTCTGTGAAACATGGCTCAACGCATCTCTCCCTGACTCCATTACCACAGTAAGAGACTATCATGTTTACCGATCAGATCATGAAATCCGTAGAGGAGGTGGTGTTGCTATCTTCTATAAAAAGTCCCTACATCTAAAAAATATCCAAGTTACCCAGGAGCTTGCTCTTCCTGAGACCATCGTCTGTGAACTGTCCTTAAATATCACATTTCAGTTCTTACTATGTTACAGAGCCCCTGATTATGACATCGAACATGCAAACAAGCTAAATACACTACTAACATGGGCAGCATCCTGCCCACACGCTTTTATCTTTCTTGGTGACTTCAATCTACCTCATATTAACTGGACCCTTAACGAATATACAACTGAACCCACACATGCAACCTTCTACAATGCAGTAACAAATATGGGACTAGAACAACTAGTAACCAACAACACTAGACTTAACAACTGCCTCGATCTCATCTTCTGCAATAGTTTGAATTCAATTTACAGAATACAAATTAAAGAACCCTTTTCCAACAGTGACCAGAACATGATTGACTTTTGTCTCAACATACGTCCACAGAAAAATCATCACAATGACAGAATCCCCAATTATAACTTCAAAAAAGGCAACTATGATCTTATAAACAACAATCTCTTATCCCTTGATTGGCAATTTCTATTCTCTGGATGCAATACTGTAGAAGACCATTACAACATATCTTTACTTGAAGTCAAAAGAGTCATCAGACTATATGAACCATTAACAACTCCCAAAACCAGAAAAAACAAATTACCCAAAACAATAAGGAAGCTTCAATCCAAACAGAAATCACTTTGGTGGAAAAACAAGTCTGGTCACGTTGCCAACTTCAAAAGCTGATACAAAAATTTATGCCACCAGATAAAGACTGAATGCACTAATTATCAGATTAAACAAGAAGAAAACCTTCTACACACCAATTCCACCCATGCTTTCTACAATTTTATTAACAACAAACTAAAAGACACAAGGTCCATCCCACCCCTGAAAGGACCTAATGGTAAAGACTGCAACGATGACACTATTAAAGCCAACCTCTTTAACACATTCTTCGGCTCAGTATTTGTAAACAGCAATGAATCATGCCCAGGATTTCCTAATCGAACCACAGACAACTACAGTGATCTAATATATATCGATTTTACAGAAGACATTGTTGAAGAAGCACTGCGCAATCTAAAACCATGTCTATCTATTGGACCGGAATATGTGCCTACTTCTTAAAAAAGCTACCCACTGCCATAGCAGAACCTCTAAGCATAATCTTTGAAAAATCTTTCAGGACCAGCTTCTTGCCAAAACTATGGTCACAAGCCACGGTCATCCCCATCTTCAAAAAGGGAGACCCCAGCCTAGTTGAAAATTACAGACCAATCTCTTTATGCTGCGTCACCTGTAAAGTCATGGAATCAATTATTAACCAATCCATTATCCTCCACTTAGAGACAAACAACCTACTCTCTAATAAACAATTTGGTTTTAGAAAAAAACTATCCTGTAATCTTCAACTCTTACACTGCAAAAACATATGGACTACACAACTCGATCAGGGCAAAGCAATAGACGCAATCTACATAGACTTCTGTAAAGCCTTTCATTCAGTGGTACATGACAAACTACTCCTAAAACTAAAATCTTACAGTATCTCTGGACACCTGCATAACTGGATAGAAGCATTCCTGTCAAACAGACAACAAATGGTCAAAATTGGGAGTGTCCTATCAAATTCTGTACCTGTCAACAGTGGTGTCCCCCAAGGCAGTGTTCTAGGACCAACTGTTTTCATACTCTACATAAATGACCTCTGTGATCATATCAAAAGCAACTGCATTCTCTTCGCTGATGATGTAAAGCTATTCAACACCACAGACAATACTGCTACCCTTCAAAAAGACCTTGACTATGTATCAGAATGGTCAAACAAATGGCAACTTCAAATCTCAACAAATAAATGCTCTGTCTTACATATTGGCAAAAAAAATAAATCAGAAAATAAAATACAGGCTGAATAATCAAGACCTTGTTGATGATCCAAACTCTGTCAAGGATCTTGGAGTACTCATCTCAAATGACCTAAGTGCTAGAGCCCACTGTAACTACATAGCCAAAAAGGCGATAAGAGTTGTTAACCTAATCTTACGTAGCTTTTTCTCTGGTAATATTACACTAATAACTAGAGCATTCAAAACATTTGCTAGACCAATACTTGAATACAGCTCATCAGTCTGGAACCCACATTATGTATCAGATATTAGCACAATTGAGAAAGTCCAGAAATATTTCACAAGAAGAGTTCTCCACTCCTCTACTTGTTGCAGAATACCTTATGCCACCAGACTCGAAATTCTAGACCTAGAAAACCTAGAAGTACACCACCTTTGGTCCGATCTAAGTATAGTATATAAAATCATACATTGCAATGTCCTCCTGTCAATGAATACTTCAGCTTCAACCATAACAACACTAGAGCAAACAATAGACACAAACTCAAGGTTAATCGCACCAAACTTGATTGCAGGAAATACGACTTCAGCAACAGAGTGGTCAATGTCTGGAATACTCCATCTGATTCTGTGGTTTTTTTCCCCAAACCCCAACAACTTTAACCTTAGACTGTGTACTATTGACCTCACCCCTTTCCTAAGAGGTCTGTAGTAGCGTGCATAAGCGCACCAACGTGCCTACCGTCCCTGTCCTATTGTTTTTTTTATATTTTTTATTTTTCTTATATGTATCCATGTATTCATAACTATGTTTTTACTTATATCTATTATCTTGTAAGCAATTGACAAATAAAAATAAATAAATAAATAAATAAAATGAAAAACCCCACCTGAGAAACCAGTGAGGAAATCCCTGTACTGGCATACCCCTGCCAGTCCTCCCAAACCACAGCCTGCTCAGCCAACTGGTACCATTAAATGCTACTGCTGCAGTCAAGTAGGTCATGGGGCTTTCAAATGCCTGGCCCCTGCACCCGTCCCTCAACCTATACCAGCTGCAGTGACCAGAGGGAGAAGAACCCCATGGAAGCCACTGGACGCAAGCAGATTCGCCCGGCAAGCCATAAAGGTTTCCTGTCCACTGATGGCCTGCAGAGCTGGCAGCAGAGTCAGACAGTGGGAGGAACATGAGCCAGTCCTGGAGTCTGGGAAGGGCTTGGATGAGGGATCTGCGTCTAACACAGAGATGGGGCCAGGGCCATCTGAGAGTTATGTGCTGACTCTGGAGCCTCCAGAATCTGACATCAGTGAGGCAGAGGAACAGGGGGAGCCAGTGCGGCAGATGCCATGGTGACATGATGGAATCCCTAGGGGCTCCTGGGGTGACCCATCAAAATCCTGACAGCCGGTGGTCCACTCGGACCTAAATCATCTTGGAGGGATGATCATTGAGGAGGGGACAATCTATAGATCCCAGAGATACCACAATATCCCTGGTAAATCCAGAGATAGCCTCTCTAGCTGACTGAAAAGGAAAGTGTCAATGCAAACCACTATAAGGCTGGGGCAGCATCCAACGGAAAGAACAAAAGGAAGATTGTGATCAAACTGGGTGAGAACTTTAAAAATTTTAAACATTAAAGGAAGAGCCCCCTGGAAAGAACAGGGAAAAGAAAAAACTAAATTAAAGGAGGTGGTAGGTAAATATCCCTCCCCCCAGAAGAAAGCGGCAAAGAAAGTAGTTTCCGGTGCAAACAGAAAGAGGAAGCCATTAATTAAAGATTAGAGAACAGAAAACCTTTTAAAAACCTGGACTGGATTTTTCAAATCTACTGGAATAAACTAAGTGGATTAAGAAAAGAAATTTGGATTTACTTTTTTCTATTTTATTTTACTTTCCTGACTTTTTAAATTTTTAAACATTTGCATTTAAATATAAATCTTAAAGGATTAAAGAATTGTTAAAGTTGAAATGAAAAGCAGTGCAACAGTGCCATCTACAAGAAAAAGAATTTGAAGACAGAGGGAGAAGGGGAAAAATGACTATTTGATTATTTGGCTGTTTGAACTTGACAGCTGGAGAATGAGGAGATAAAAAAACATTGTTGACAGACATAGAGAGCTACGCTGAGAACTTATATTGAAAACAGAGTAATTCTTGGACACTATAAGAAACAAAGAAGATACAAAGAAACAGAATATTGAATCCCTTTCTCCTGAACTGTTTTGATTGCATTGGCAAAGCTGCACTGTGGAATTTAACACAGAGAAACAATTGAAGGCTGGATGCTGAGACCTGGTGATATAAGGTGGATTACAACTGGATAATTAAACTATACTCTTTCTGGGTTTTTTTATTTCTTGTGACATAATACTAGAATAATCTTGTGGATATTACTATATTTTTTCTTTTTTCCTTTCCCATATTTTTTCATATAAAATTTATTTTCTTCCTTTTTTCTTTCTCAATTTTAAATTTTTGATTTACCTTTTTTAAACTTTATAAAGAGATTGGTATCCTTTTTTTCTTTTCCCCATCTCCTCTACATTTTTACACTCAGCATAATAAGGAAAATTTTCTTTTGAATTATTTTTCTTTTTCTTTCTTTCTTTCTTGAATTTTTCTTTTCTTTTCTTTTAGATTTTGTCTTAAAATTGCTGAGTTTCTCACTGGATTTGTACACTCTCCCTCCTCTGAAATTTATTGGATTAGGACATAGAAGAACTCAAAGAAAGAAATTTGGAGAAAGACCCCATTGTGGATTATAAATTGACTTTGAATACAAAATGGATTATTATAAGAGATTATTAATTAATTAATTAATTAATTAATTAATTAATTATAAGAGATTATTAAGAGACAACAAATACAATATCAAAAAATAAAACAAGCAACAACATCTGCCCCATCTTCAGCCTCCTCCTTGGCGGCTTCTAGCCCTGGAGGACAGAGATCCATTGACTTGATGTTACAGCAAGTAAAGGTGGTTACAATGCAGGCAGAAATTAAAGTGATTCTACAAGCAGTACAAGAGCAAATAGGGAGAATGGATGAAAAAATAGGAAATGAGGAAGGAAAAGTAGGTAATGTAGAAGAAAAGGTAGAGAACATTCAACAGCTGATGATGAAAAATGAAGAACAGATGGGGAAAATAGAAGATAGAGCAGACATAACAGAAAAAAGTAGGAGAAATGGATTACAGATTAACAATAGCAGATCAAAGCAAGGAAAGAAAAATTATGTTGGAGATGGATAAATCTGACTATTATTTAAGATTACAAAACATTGAGGAAGAAAAGGAGGAAAACTTACCTGAAATAATGGCAGAGTTACTAGCAGGAACCCTAGAAGTAACAAAAGAAAAAGTGATAACTGATGTAGATGAAATATTCAGGGTCCAGAATATATATGCATTGAGAAATAAGCTACCAAGAGAAGTATATATCAGATTTACGAAGAAAGCTCTTAGAACAGAAATACTTTAAAAAGTGAGAGATGACACATTAAAATACAAAGGGAAGGAGATAACAGTACTGAAGCAAATACTAAAAAGTGTTAGAGATCTGAGGCGGGAATATCAATTTCTGACAAAATGCCTAATAAAAAGAGAGGTTAATTTTAGATGGCGGATACCAGAGGGAATAATAGTGACATGGCATGATCAGAGACACAGATTAGATACAATTGGGAAAGTAGAGCAATTCTATGACCACTATTTCAAAGAACAAGAGTAAGAAAAAAGGAGGGAAATTAAAGAAATAAAACTGAGAGAAGAAGCTGCAGGACGGAGTGAAAGACTACGAAGAGGAGAGAAAAGAGAACAGGAAGAGAGAACAATCAGAGAAGAAGAAAAACCGAAGGAACCAAGGGAGACGAGAGTGACAAGAGCAACAAAGCCATATTATAAATAAAGATATGGAAGAAGAAATAAAATTAATGACAATTAACATAAATGAATTAAATTCATCAATAAAAAGGAAAAGGATTTTTAATAAATTAGAGAAATTAAAATTGGATATAATTTGTCTACAAGAAGTACATATTAAAAGATAATATGAGAAAATACTGGACTATCCTAAGAATGGGAAATTATATACTCTCGGCACAACAAAGTAAAAGAGGAATAACGTTGTATATAAAGGACACTATAAAAGCGAAATCAATTTATAATGACAATGATGGGAGAGTATTAATGGTGGAAATATTGATGAACAGACATTATTAGTGGCAATTTGTGCACCAAATGAAAGTCAAAAGGAGTTCTATGATAAATTACATAAGAAAATAATGAAGCTAGAATATGAAAATATATGTATTATAGGAGATTTTAACACAATAGCAGATGCAGAAATGGACTATAAAAAGAGGTGGGATTCTACTGGTTCGGACCAGATCAGTAGAACCAGTTGTTATGATTCTCCATAGTGCAGAGAATCAGTACATCAGGCCTCTGGCTAGCCCCACCTCTCTCCACCTGCTTCTCTACTCCCTGCCCAGTCAGTCCCTATCGCACATGTACAACATCATGCACATGTGCAACATGCCTGAGCCTGCTTTTGCCTGCCCTCCAGGCCAGCCATTGCTGCCTGCCTTTTTCTGTGGCCCTGCCTGATCTGATGATCTCCCTGGGTGGGTGAGACTCTGCAACCCCCGGTCGCCTTTCCCTCATCACCACAAGCCTCTCCACTGTTCCTTCCATCTGGGTTAGGCTAACCCTAACCCCAACTAAGCAGCCCTGATCTGCCTTCTCACAAGTCATGCTAGCCCCTCCCCCACTGTCCCCAGACTTTGCTGGAGGCCCCCACCATTCCTGGGCTGAGCTGGCTGGTTTCCCCACTGGTGTGGCCCCATCCCACTGGCGGCACTGGCTGGGGCCTACCTACCTGCCCCCCATCCCTAGGCTCAGCTGGCTGGCTAAGCCACCATGCAGCACTCTCCCAGCTCTCCCTACCATGTGGCGACTGTAGCACAGCAAGCTGCAGCAGCAGTGCTCCAACCAGTAGGGTGGTGGACCCTGCTGCCTCCTGTAAGCAGCGCTGTGGCTGCAGCACCTCCTCCACCTCTGCTGCCTCCACCCATTTCTCCCAGGAGCAAAACAAAAGAAAGCGAGCAGAGGTGGCGGAGGGGCTGCAGTGATGGCACTGCTTATGGGAGGCAGCCATGTCCCTACCCTCCCAATTGGAGCACTGTGGCCACCACCCACCACCCATCTTCTGCAGAGGCACTTTGGGAGGGCCAGGGGGTGCTCCATGGCCCCTCCACTGCCACAGCACGCTGCCTGCAGAGGTACTTTGGGAGGGCTGGGGGGGGTGCTCCACAGCCCCACTTCTACCACCAGCCACCCACAGAGTTACTTTGGGAGGGCCTCTCGTGACTGTGGGGATGCTGCAATAGTCGTAAGTGTGAAAAATGGTTATGTCACTTTTTTTAGTGCCATTGTAACTTTGAATGGTCACTCCACACAAGCAAAGTACCAGCAAAGAAGGGGGAAAAAACTCCAGAGAAGTTCCTGAGACAGGAAGTCTAGTCCTGCCAAGAATGTAATAAGGGTTAATGGAGAGGCAGTTTCTGTAAGCAACACCAGAATGTTTCCTTCCTGCCTTCCTTACAGGATTAGCCCAGTAATTTCTTCTAACAACCGGTTCTCCAAACTGCTTAGAATGTTAACAACCAGTTCTAGCGAATAGGTGCAAACTGGTAGAATCCCACCCCTGAATATGAGAATAATTTTAAACACTTCGGAATATTATGAAGCACATCCTGAAAAACAGATGGTGTTGATATTCTTGGATGCACAGAAGGCCTTTGATAATGTGAACTGGCAATTTATATTGACACAAATGGAAGAAATGGACTTTGGGGAAAAGTTTATTAAAATGATTAAGACAATATATTACAAACAGTATGCAAAGGTGATGGTAAATGGAGAACCAATGGAGAAAATTCACATTGAGAAAGAGTGATAACTCTTTCACCATTTGTCACCATTGTTATTTGTATTAACATTAGAAGTGCTAAATAGAAATATTAGGAAAGATAAGGAGATAAAAGGGATGGAAATAAGAAAAGAAGAGTATAAATTGCAGGCATTTGCAGATGATTTAGTTTTTATATTAGAATATTCTTCTAATATAAAAGAAGGTTCTAGGAAAAGGACCCAAATTAATAAATAAAATAGAGGAATATGGGAGAATGGCAGGATTGAAAATATATAAAGGGAAAACTAAGATATTGGTAAAAAAAATATGACAGAGAAACAGAAAAAAGAATTGACGAAGAGTTTAGATATTCAGGTAGCAAAGAAAGTTAAATATTTGGGAATTCAGTTAACAGCAAGATGTGAAACAATTAAAGAAGATAATTATTATAAACTTAGACTTGGGAAAATGGGGCAATATGCAGCTATCATTAACAGGAAGAATTGCAGCGATTAAGATGAATGTATTACCAAAAGTGTTGTATTTGTTTCAAAAATTGGGGAAAAATATTTTGAGGACATTAACAAAATAGTACTGAAATATATATGGCTAGAAGAAAGCAAGAATTAATGTAAAAATGTTACAGGATGCGAGAACTAGAGGAGTGTTTGGGCTACTTAATTGGCATATATATTATCAGGCCACAGTACTAACCTGGATGAAAGAATGGATTACATTGAAAAATAGAAGGTTGTTGACGTTAGAGGGTCATGATTTGCAATTGGGGTGGCATGCATTTCTATGGTATGGGAAAAGTAAAATACATGGGTATTTCCAAAGACCTATGGTCAGGAACGCATTGTTATTAGCATGGGGGGGAAAATCAGAGAACATTACATGAAGATCCCAGTCTGGCTATCAACAATGGAAGCACTTATACATACAAATGTTTGTAAAATTGTTGCTAGATACAAAGATATTTTAAATGAAAAGGGTGAGTTCAAAAACAAAACAATAATTGAATGAACAAGGGTTGGAAATGCATTGATATTCATATATGCAAATACAATCAAGATATGAAAAAGATATTAAAGCTGAAGGGATTTATAAGGAGTTGACAGAATTGGACAAAATTCTAAAAGGAACAGAAGATAAGTTGATCAAAAAATTATATTGCTATTTATTAGGTGTTAAGTTTGAAGAAGAACAAGTTAAGGAAACAATGATAGCATGGGCAAAAAACTTTGGATATGCTATAGAATTAGATAAGTGGCAGAAGTTATGGGACAGGAATTATAAATTAACAATATTGATAGCATATAAAGAAAATTTGTACAAGATGTTTTATAGATGGCACTTTGCACCGGCAAAATTAGTTAAGATGCTCAAAGATAAATCAGGCAAATGCTGGAAGTGCCACCAGACACCTGGAACGTATTACCATATGTAGTGGACTTGTACAGAAGCTAAAAGATTCTGGACAAAAATACACAGATGGTTGGAAAAAATGATAAAACAACACATAGATTTGAAACCTGAAATATTTTTATTAGGAATGGTACCTGAAGGTTACAGTAAAGAAAAAACATATTTAATTATACATGCATTAATAGCAGCTAGAATTGTATTTGCTCAGAATTGGAAAAGCGATAAGATACCTATAGAGGGAAAAGTGAGAAAATATTTGAATGTGCAGAGATGAATAAGTTGGTAATCAAAGAAAAAGAAGAAACGGAATACTACATGGTATGGGATTTATTTTATCAATGGTTGGAAAATAAAACAAATTAAAATGAATTAGATGAATATATAGAGATATATTATGACATGACGTCCAATCCTATGTCACGTCCTGTGTGTGATGCCAGCAGGCCAAGTCAGTGACTGGGGCTTCCCCAGGGCTGCTCTAGCCCTTGCTGACACTGGGGAGACCTTGGGGCACCATTTCTATGGACTTCTTGATGGATTTGCCTCTGTCTTCTGGATTTATGACCGTGTTTGTGGTGGTAGACATGCTGACGAAGATAGCACATTGTTGTGGGTTACCGACAACTCGCACCACCACCCGCATGTTTATCCAACATGTCTTCTGGCTGCATGGCCTACCTGATTGGGTTGTTTTGGACAGAGGGGCTCAATCTATAGCCCAGTTCTGGAAAGGGCTGATGATGGCCTTGAACATGAAAATCTGCCTGTCGTCGGTTCATCATCTGGAAACCAATGGCAGAACTGAGAAAGTCATCAGGATCCTGGAGCAATACCTGAGCTGCTTTGAGAAGCAGCAACAAGACAGATTATTTGACAGTAGCAGAGTTCGCTGTCAGGTTTCCAAGTGATGAAATCCATTTAAAAAGAAAAGAACAAAGTCCATCCTCCAAGACAATTTATTTTATTTAGGAAAGCATCAGATTGGCAAAGTCCATGGTAATTCTGGATCTGACGCAACCCGGAATTACCCCCAATATTAAAAGTTAGAAACAACCCCCAAAAGTCACATTCTCCAATAGAAGTAATTCAACGTTGCTTGATGTCATAAATCTCCACCTCAAGGGGCCTAAGTACGGACAGTTCATTTTCCCACGGGAAGAAGAATCACCTAGCCAAAACAACTCTCTCTATCTCCATTCCTCCCTCCTTAAGAATGTGGCAAGTCCGAAACCCTTCCCCCCATGAATGCCATAAAGAAAGTAAGAAAAAGAATATATACTAAACCTAACTAAAATGGCTACACATATGTCAAATTTGGGCTTGACTTTCGCATTCAACAACTCACAGCACACCTCCATGCAAACAACCCCTTTCTTGGCCAATGTGAAATATTATCCTCGGTTCTTTCCCCTCATGCAACTCGACTCTCCGGTTCTGGCGGCTAATTACCATTTGTCCGAGTTGCAGGTGTTAGGAATATGAGTCACCTAACAGCTATTTGGGTTAGAAATATATAAACCAGGATAAACATTTTAGTACTATGTCTTTAAGAGATTGCAAAAACTGCAATTGGGTGTGGTTTTTCAAACAGCCATAAGATGGAGCCAGAAACCTGGATTGTCTTAGTCTTAATCTCAGAAGAGAGTGTGTCTCCGTCTCTGTTTCCTTCTGTTGGAAAATATTGCCCTTCCTCCATTTTTTCTAATTGACTGATATTACTGGATTTAATGTAAGTCTGATACTGAACTGTTTTTGACACTGGAATTTGATATTTGAATTATCCCTGGATTGAAAAACTGACTGATTTACCTGTGAATGACTTTTGGACTGCTTATTTTGGACTTTGCTTAAACCTTTCTGGAAGTAAAAACCAACACTACTCTCTATACGTCTCCCTGTATGCGCTCAGTCTCCTAACGGGGAATTACCTCAACACTGGTTATGGGCCCAGGTCATACCAGGCTCAGATAACTGAGAGTTAGTGTGAATACACAGTACTGTATACAGACAGCTGTTTACTGTTTAATTGTGGGTTACTATCCTGATAAAGATGGCACAAGACACTTCAACAAGTCTATCACTCATAACCCAGTTGGATGGAACAAACTATGTTTCCTGGTCTATGAAGTGCAATCTACTTCTGCATAAAGAAGGTTTATGGAATGTAGTTCAAGACCCACCAGATGTAAATGCTTGGGATCCAGAAAATGAGGATGATGCCAAGAAGCTTGCTGACTTTAAACAGAACAATGAACGAGCTCTTTGTATAATTGGACTAACACTGAGTGACCAGCAGCTAGTCCATATTCGTGGAGAAGAGTCTGCTGCTAGGTGTTGGGAGAATTTGAAGAGGATTTATGTTCGTGACAGTGTAGGTGCACACATACATCTTACATGTAAACTGTTTAGAGCACGTCTTCTGAAAGGTGGAGATATGTTAGCTCATTTAAACTTCATGAAAAGAACTTTTCAAGAGCTACATGAAAAAGAACTAATATTTTCAGAGCTGCATCAAGTTTATATCATTCTTTCCTCATTGGATGAAAGTTATGATGATTATGTATCTTCACTGGAAGTCCTGCCCAGAGATAAACTGACATTGACTGACATAACTGGAAGATTGTTAGAAGAAGCAAGAAGAGGGCTGGATAGGGACCAACTGAGGAAGGAACAACCAGAAGAAGAGGATTTATCTTCAACTGCCTATAATGTTAGGAAATGTTTTTCTTGTGGGGCTAGGGGACATATAGCTAGATTCTGTAAGAAAAGAAAAGGACAGAATACTGGCAAACACCAGAAGGCTAAGAAGAATGTTAGTTTAGCTATGTCTAGCAATTCAACTGTAAACCATGATTTGTGGGTTGTTGATAGTGGAGCATCACAATGCATTACTAAGGATAGAAACAGGTTTGTAAAGATGTCCACGAGTAAACAACATGTATCATTGGCAAATGGATGGAAGATTAAAGCATCTGGTCAAGGTACTGCATATTGTTCTTGTATAAACGAACATTTAACTATGTTATATGTACCTAAACTGAAATTTAATTTGTTATCAATAAGGGCTTTAGTTAATCTTAGTTATGTAGTAACCTTTAGGGGAGATAACTGTATAATAGAGAAAGAGGGTAAAAGTGTTACTGCTACATTAGAAAATGATTTATATGTGATACATGATGACCAGTTGAAGATGGCTAACTCAGTTTATAACAATGTTAAGCCACATGATGAATGTATACATTTACTACATAGACGTCTAGGGCACATTAATTTCAAAATGCTCAAACAAACTGTTGAATTGTCAGAGGGAGTAAAATTGAAACCTTGTAGCAAGTATTTACACTGTAATGCTTGTAGTCAAGAAAAGAGTAAGGTTACTCCAGCAAACAGACTAAATGGGTTTAAGACCAAAGAACCTTTAGAGGTTGTTTTTGCTGACATAATTGGTCCTAAGAAACCAAGTTTAGGAGGTGCCTGTTATATTTTGAGTATTATGGACCATTACTCACGATACGGTTTCTGCTATCTTATGAAAAACAAAACAGAAACATTCCAACATTTCTTTAACTGGCTAAGGTTTGCTGAGAGAAAAATGAAAAGTAAAGTAATTACTTTAGTAACTGATAATGGGACTGAGTTTGTTAACAAAAGATTCCAAACTATGTTGAAATTGGCTGGTGTTGAGCATAAACGTTCTGCACCTTACAGACCACAACATAACTCCTTTATAGAACGAAGAGGGCAAACATTACAAGCCATGGCTCGCACTATGTTATCTGATTCAGGTTTACCTGAAACACTGTGGGGTGAAGCCATAATGTGTAGTAACCATGTTTTAAACAATGTAGTTAATACAACTGGTGAATTGCCATTCACTCGTTGGCATGGCAGAAAACCAAATTTAAGTTACCTACACACATTTGGAGCTCCAGCATGGGTGCATATTCCCTCACAAGTAAGACTGAAAGGGCAACATAGAGCTAAGAAATTATTTTTTGTGGGTTATGAGGCCAACCATAGATCATTTAGATTCTGGGATCAAGGCACAGCTCATGTTTATTGCAGTGCTAGTGCAAAATTTCTCGAGCACGTTGGGTGGGATAAACTGGAACAGGAATCCAGCAATGATATTATTATTGACACCCAAATAGTCCCTAAAGATGATATCAGTAAACAACAAATAGCCATTAAAGAGGAAGAACAGGAGGAGGTAGAAGAACAGGAGCAGGTGGCACAGGTGAGTCCACCAGTTAGCCCTGTATTACCAAGACGTTCAACCTGTGTAACACGACCACCTGATAGCTATCAGGCTAGTGTTGTATGCCATGTGAATACAGTTCCAAGTAATTATAATGAACTAAAACTGTATCCTGCTAAGGATCAGGCTGCTTGGCAGAAAGCAATGGATAAGGAACTAGAATCATTAAAAAGACTGGAGGTATACGAAAATGTTAAATTACCACCAGGTAAACATGCCATAGGATGTAAATGGATATATAAACTGAAGACAGGTGTAGATGGGACTATTACCCATAAAGCCAGGTTAGTAGTACAAGGGTTCAATCAGACAGCAAATGACTATGATGAGGTGTTTGCACCTAGTCTGAAGGCCACTACATTAAGGGCAGCATTAGTGTGGGCAGCTAAGGAGAAATACATTGTAAATCATTTGGATGTAGAGACAGCATATCCTCATGCACCATTGCAACACACTATATATTTAAAGAAACCTTTAGGTCTCAAAAATGATAATACTGATAAAACAACTGATTGCTGGAAATTGAAAAAGAGTCTTTATGGTTTGAAGCAATCAGGATATGAGTGGAACCAATGTATAGTCAAAGAATTACCTAAAATAGGTTTTGTAGCTGGCATGGATGATCCATGTTTGTTTAAAAGAGAAAGTAATGGTATGATTTCATTATTGTTATTATTTACTGATGACATAGCATTAATCACCAAAACTGAACAAGAAGCTACTGAGATAATTTCACTATTGGAAAATAAATTTAAGATAAAACAGTTAGGAGAAATCAAACAGTATCTTGGTTTAAAGATAGAACTAGAGGAGGATACGAGATCTCACAGGCAGATAAAATTAACCAATTACTAAAAAGTTTTAAAATGGGACTTTGTAAGCCGGCTAAAACACCAATGAGCCAGGAGTTTAGCCATAGTGATGTTCAAAGTCCTATTTTTGATAAGAACATTTATCAGTCTTTGATTGGTAGTTTATCTTATCTCAGTAATTGTTCGAGGCCAGATATTGCATACAGTGTTAATCAATTTGCAAGATTTAATGCTGAGCCAACTGAAAGGCACTGGCAAGCTGCTAAACGTGTGTTAAGATATCTGAAACAGACAATGCACTATGCATTGTATTTGGAGCCTAAAGATGAACTGAATTTGACTGCATATGCTGATGCAAGTTTTGCTACAGACATAAATACACGAAAATCTACATCGGGTACTGCTGTATTATTGGGAAAAGCATTGATTGGATGGAGGTCTATTAGACAGAAACATTTAAGTTTGTCAACAATGGAGGCTGAATTCTCATGTTTGTCTTTATTATGTACAGATTTAGTTTTGTATAAACAATTATTGATTGATATGGGAATTGATGTAACAGATCCTATTGTTATTTACGAAGATAACCAATCAGCAATACAGATGGCTTCAAATATTGCTGTTAAAACAAGAACGAAACACACAGATTTAAGATATTTAAATGTGAGACAATGTGTGCAAAGTAAAATGATTAAGCTAGAATACTGTATGTCACAAAACAATATAGCAGATCATTTTACAAAGGCCCAAGGCTCTATAAAGCATAAGGTGTGCTGTGAAGATTATGGACTTAGAATGTAAAGTTGTATATATTGTCTTACCCAAAAGGGGAGAATGTTAGGAATATGAGTCACCTAACAGCTATTTGGGTTAGAAATATATAAACCAGGATAAACATTTTAGTACTATGTCTTTAAGA